GATCGGGTTCAGCTTTGTCCCTCTGGAGCCCCCCCAAAGCCCAAGTCCTGGGAAGCCCTTGCAGCCTCAGACACACCAAGATGGCAGCTCACCCTAGATCAAGTGCCAGAACCTGGACTTGGTGCTGGACTCAGAGGGCTGGAGGCCTCGAGTTTGATCCTTGCTAAGTGGCACGGCACAGAGCCGGGACTGAACCTTTGGACCATCAGACCTTCACACGACAGTCAAATGGCCAAGGAGTGGACTCAGGTCCCTGAGCACTGCTTAGGGGCCTCCTATACCTCCTCCCCAAATTACCTGCCCTTGGAGGACCCCGCCTCCACCCTTGGGTCTGTCCCCTTGTCCCCCAGCTTTGGGGTGAGCTGCCCTCCAGTGGGATCCTGGACACCCATGAAAGGCTCTCCTGGACTCCCCCAAACTCGGACTGTCCACATGACCAGGATGGGGACCCCCCCCGCAAAGAGCACAGACCCAGGGCTCGGGGTTCAAGTGATTTTGTAGCTGTCTCCTGAAGCCACCCCGGGTGGGCTCCGGCACGCGTCTGGAATGCAGAGGTCAGCACCCCCTCGCCCTCCCGCCTCGGTTGGCTGTCTGAGAGGGACACAGGTGCCTGAGAGTGGACAGCGAAGCGCCCCCTCCTTTAGAGGTGATGTCTCCCTCTCAGTCATGAGGAGTGCCACTTCCTTTCTCGGCCACTCCCTGGAACCCCCTGCCCTCCCCTCCCCCGACATTCCTTCCTCCCCCCCCCAGGGGCATGAGCTCTTGACGTGCACCGACTTCTGGGAAATGTGGACCCTGACCAGGAGGTCTGGAAGCCCAGTGGGGAGAGCATGATCCCGGCCTCTGGGAAAACGTCCAATTGCCCACCCCCCTTCTCCACTTGGGTCACTGTCCAGGGGACCCAGAGCCCAGGTAGGTGGCTGGGCCTGGCCTGCAGAACAGCCTGCCTGCCCTTGGGTGAGAGGAGAAAGCCCTGAGCATCGCTAGCTGTGGCCCCCAAAACCAAAACGAAACGGAAACAAAACCCCAGTAGGCCACTGGGGCCAGGGAGGGGGTGCAAAGGGACTGGGGCACATGCTTTGTATATGGGAATCCTGGGTTTGATTCTCGCCATCACATGGTCCCTCAAGCACTGATGGCAATAGCCCCCCTCACCACCACTGGGTATGGTCCCCCTCAAAAACAGACCCCCCAGAAAAACAACAACAAAAGAGAAACAGGGGCTGGAGAGATAGTACTGCAGGTAGGGTGCTTGCCTTGCACATGGCTGCCCGGGTTTGATCCCCAGCACCCCACAGGGTCCCCTGAGCACCACCAGGAGTGATTCCTGAGTGCAGAACCCGGAGGAACCCTAAGTATTGCCGGGTGTGGCACTGTAGCACTGTCCTCCCGTTGTTCTTCTATTTGCTCAAGTGGGCACCAGTAACGTCTCCATTGTGAGACTTGTTATTGTTTTTGGCATATCGAATACATCACGGGGAGCTTGCCAGGCTTTGCTGTGCAGCGGGATACTCTCAGTAGCTTGCCGGGCTCTCCGAGAGGGGTGGAGGAATCGAACCCGGGGGGGCCACGTACAAGGCAAACGCCCCACCCGATGTAGTGGCAATACCAGGCATTCCAAACAAAACAATAAATAAAGAGAAACCCAAGGCCTGCGAGGAGGGGGCTGGACGTGTATGTGTGCACGCGCGCGTGTTGCAGGGCGGTGGTTCCTTGGGACCCTGAAGCTCTTGAACCCTGATTTCCGACCGAGTCCTGGAAACACAGTTTCCAGGCAGAGGCGAGGAACTGCGGCAGCATGCCCGGAAGTCCTGCCCAACGCCCCCTGGCCCCCATATTGTTCTCCGGACCCCCCTAGCCCCAGCCTCGCACTGGGGATTTCCGGCCTGGCCAGGACGACCTGAACTTCCCTGGGCGGGGCGGCTGACTGCCCCTGCTGGGAAGGGGACTGGCTGGAGCGCCACCAACATGCCCTTGACCCCGGGTCCTGCCCCAGACCTTCCTTCTCCCTTTTCCCGGAACCGGGCAGAGACGGCTGAGGCTCATTTTCACTTAAGGCCACTTGGCTTCCAGTCACCACCACAAAAACGCCCGGCTCAGGCCAGGCCCCACTCCCAGAGCCTTGGGTGACACCTGAACCCCTTCCCCTCCTCACCCCCAGCTCTGACATGAGCTCAGGAGTGACCTGCAGTCTCGGGCTTTGCTGGATGGGCACGTGGGTTCCTCCTACCCTATGCACTTACTAGGCAGCACATGAGGGGCCTCTAGTGCCCAGACAGCAGCCAAGGGCCTCCATTCATTCCTCCAGAGCTAGGGACCACCATCCACCACCCACCCAGAGTGAGGGACCTCCACCTACCCACCCATCCAGAGTGAGGAACCTTCATCCATCCACCCACTCATCCACCCACCCAAAGTGAGGGACCTCCATCCATCCACCCATCCATCCACCCATCCACCCACCAATCCATCCATCCATCCATCCATCCATCCATCCATCCATCCATCCACCCACCCACCCATCCATCCACCCATCCATCTACCCACCCACCCAGAGTGAGGGACCTCCATCCATCCACCCACCCACCCACTCAGAGTGAGGACTTCCACCCACACACCCACCCAGAGTGAGGGACCTCATCCATCCATCCATCCATCCATCCATCCATCCATCCATCTATCCATCCACCCACCCAGAGTGAGGGACCTCCACCCACCAACCCACCCACCCAGAGAGAGGGACCTCCATTCATCCATCATCCATCCACCTAGAGTGAGGGACCTCCATCCATCCATCCATCCATCCATCCATCCATCCAGCCAGCCAGCCCCCCACCCAGAGTGAGGAACCTCCATCCACCCACCTGGAGTAAGGGACCTCCATCCATCCAGCCCCCTACCCGAAGGGAGGGTCCACAGCCTGCCAGTCTCTTTCCTGGTGCTTTTTCCCTGGGAGCATCCCAGTCTCCCATTTAGTTCTGTGAAGCCCCTCACCTGTGCAGTGCTTGGGGTGGATGGGATTGCAGTGAGAACATAGGCCCGGGGGCCAGCACAGGCAATGGGTTCTCTCCTGACTCCTGCTGACCTGGGGGGGGGGGGGGCGGGTCCTTGTGCAGAGGTCACAGCCTGGGGATGGGGACTGGGACTGAAAGGTGAACCCCTTTCCTCGCTTTCTGCCTGTGTGTGAGTCTCAGGGGGCGGGGGAGAAGGGGTCCCTACCAGCCCCTCTTCCCCAGGCTGGGGGCTCAAGGAGGCAACCCAGACAGAGCCAGGGGCGAAGGACACAGACCCAGCATGTCCCCGGGGAGGTCAGGGTGTGGGATCAGGCCCAGGGGATCCCCTAAGGATTCTGAGCTCACAGTGACTCAGGCCTTGAGCAGCTGCATGGCACAGGGCCAGGCTGGCACACGGCGGTCACCATTCTCCGGGGACCTGGAGCACCTTTTAAGGCTGGTCAGACGCTTGCACTGGGCCCTGCCCTGGGGCTCGGGGCCTCCTGCCAGCCCCTCACCTGCTTCACCCTGGCACCCTCTCTCCCACGTCCCCTTGGGCTAGCTCGTGCCCCTGGGCCGGCTCCTTGGCGCGTGGCAAGGCGCCTTACCTCACACGGGAGGAATTACATGAGGTCATGGGCAGAGAAAGGCCCTGGCAGAGGGCACCTTTTAAGGAGTGGGCCGGGCAGAGAGAGGACCTGGCCTCGGAGGCCGGGTGCCTTTGGAAGTTCCCCGCCCCCGCAGGTGAGCTGCCACTCTTGGCCTGGCTGGCTGCTGCCCGTGGAGTAAGATCAGGCACCTTGTTTGAGGAGATGACAGCAGCCTGGTCAGCCTGGCCTTGAATGCCAGCCCAGCTGACCACTGGCCTGGTGATCCTAGACAAGATCCAGAGCCCGCCCCAGGGGTCTCATGGCCAAGGGACTGGCGAGGCTGCCAGCACCCAGCTTTCCTGCCCGGTGTGGACAGCGGGCTGGTTTCCTTTTCACACGCCCATCGGGAGTCCCTGGTCCTTCCCCCACCGGGAAAGGAGCCTTCGAAGACACACAGAATAGGCTCAGGAGACCCCCCACAGGACAGGAAAGCCACACAGCAGGATGCCTGGGACCCCAGGGCTAAACTGCGAGGGCGGAGCCCAAGACACCCAGCAATGAAGGCCCTGGCACCCAGAAGGGAGCTGGAAGACAGCTCCAACAGCCTGGCACGTCCCTGGATGCAGAGGAGCTGCAAACAAGTGGGAGAGTTGGGGGCTGGAGCAATAGCACGGCGGGGAGGGCGTTTGCCTTGCATGCAGACAACCCCAGTTCAATTCCCAGTATCCCATAAGGTCCCCCGAGCACCGCCAGGAGTAATTCCTGAATGCATGAGCCAGGAGTAACCCCTATGCATTGCCAGGTGTGGCCCAAAAAGCAAAAAAAAAAAATAATAATAATGTGGGAGAGTTGGGGCTGACCTGGATTGGATCCTTGGTTCCCCCAAGCACCGACAGGAGTGAGCGCTGAGCAGAGGGCCAGGGGTGAGCCCTGAGCACTGCCAGGGGTGATGCTTGAGCATGGCCAGGTGCCAGGTGCAGTCCAAAAACAAAGGAACAGCGGAACCCCTGTTGATGAGGGGTTCAGGGATGCACGGAGGGAGGATGCTGAGCTCCCCCGGTGACTCACGGAAGAGGCCACGTGCCCACCAGTCAAGAGGGCTTCAGACCTGGGGACCTGGGGAAAAATCCAGCCAGGTGTGCCCCCGGGGCTGGCACCGGAGGGTGGATGGAGGGGAGGTGACACAGAACAGAAGCTGCAGCCAGTGCAAACCCCGTTTATTGGTCAGCGCGGATCACAGCTCCGCCTCCTGCTTCCTGAACCAGCCAATCGGCGTGGTGTGGGGCGGGGCCGGACCAGCAGGAATCTGTCCCCCTCCCCCAGGTGTTTGAGGCCTGGGAGACGTGGGGTGGGGGGGAGCTACAGGTCAATGAGTGTGGGTGCCCCGAGTCTGCAGAAGGTAGAAGAAGTGGGTGGGTGGGAGTCACAGAAAGTTCTTTATTACAGATCTACAGAAAAGGAGAGAGTCGTCTATTCCTCTTGCTGGCTGGGGTGTTTTTGTTTTGGATTTTTGTTTTTTTACAAAACAGCAGCAGGAAAAAGAAGACTAGCAAGAGGTCTCTGAGCCGGCCCGGGGTGGGGGGTTTCCAGGGGAAACGTGGGGGTTGCACGGCTGATCAGCCGGGAGAAGGCGCCAGGCGCTGGGGCACAGAGTGGCTGGAAGACATAGCCCCAGGGCCAGTGGCAGCACCGAGCCGGGCCGGCTGGAAGGCTCTAGGTCACCTAGGTCACCGGATGGGGGACGAGGCCGGTGGGCTGCCAGGCCCCTCTCCCACCCCTCATGGGGGCGCAGCATGACAGTCCGGGGGCTCCCCAGCCTGTCAGTCGATGAGCTTCTTCAGGAAGACCTCCAGCTGGTCCTCGTCTTTGATGCCCACAAACTTGTCCACCACGTCTCCGTTCTTGATGGCCAGCACGGTGGGCACGGCGGACACCTGGGTGGGAGTGAGAGACAGAGGAGGCCGCTCACTCAGAGAGGTGGGACCTTCCCCCCTACCCCCACCCCCGCTCTGGCCAAGCCTGTAGGGCCGCGCCAGCCCCTCGGGAAACTTTCCATTGTGGGCTCCTGGCCGTGTCCTGTCCCTCCCCCTGACCGCACGGGCTGACTCACTGGCCCGTGGTTAGACTGGAATGATGGAGATGAAATTAGCCCGTGGGGCTGTACTGCAGGCCGGGCAGCGGGTGGGGGATGGAGGGGACGGGGGTGGGGGGAAGCAGACGAATCCCCCAGACACATGAATGCCCGGGACCTGTACACTGGCACTGCCAACTTTGCAGCCGCGGTGTCCTCTGCCTCAGTGGGACACTGGTCTGTCCTGCGGGTTCCGGGCGGGGTTTTAGGGTTCCCTACATAAAGCCCAGCTCAGGGCCGCAGGCGTTTGCATTGCAGGGGCCACAACAGTTTGACCCCAGCAGCACGCAGGGTCCTCCAAGCTCCTCCCAGAGGGACCCCCTGAGCGCAGAGACCGCTGGGTGTGGCCCCCAAGACCAAAATAACCCGCAGAGCTGGGCTGCCCCCGACTTGGGCCCCCGCCGACACTGTCACTCAGGTCCTGATGCTGAGACCACGAAGGAGTGCTGGCCGGGTGCAGGGGATGTTCAAGGGCTGGCCAGAGGCCATGTCGGGGAGGGCCAGCACGAGCAGGGCCGCTGCTCCCCTGACCGACATCTGTCTTCTGGGCAGGGACCACGTGCAGGCTCCCTGGGGGCGAGCTGATGGGCGGGCACAGAGGCCGAGGCCGCCCTGGCACCATGCCCCGGCTGCTGCCTGGGCGCCCTGCCCAGCTCCGTGGGCACCAGAAACAGACACTGGAGCGGGTGGAGATGGACACAGGAGGGGTCCACGCGTGCCCTGTCCTTCTGCAGATCAGCTGGGATCCCTGGGATGCCAGGACCTCACTCAGCAGGGGCAAAATGCAGAGACCCACAGGCCAGCCCAGGCAACCTCACCCACGGACAGAGCCACGTCCACTCAAGGGCCCCGGGGTGGGCCAGTACCCCTGTCCCAAGGGGCCGTGGGGTCAGGCCACAAAGACCCCACTATCTTAGCCACACAGGTGGGCCGACCATGAGTGTCACCTCCCCAGCTCCTACAACTGGCCTGTCCTTGTTACTCTCGCTTTTGACACCAGCAGAGGCAGGAGGTCCCAAGGGACCCAGGAAGCCTGAAGCCTGCTGCGGCTCCAAGGTAGGGGGAGAAAGGGAGCACGGTTCTCTGGCGCCCCCTAGTGGCCTACACTGACAGCACGCACAGGGACAGAGCAGTCCTGAGTTCTGGGCTTGCCCTGGGGCCTCTGGGTCTGCCTGCACATGCGCCCAAAGGGCTCCGGGCTCTGAGGGGAGGGCATGGCTGTCTCAATCCCCACACCAACCCTACACGTGCACACCCGCCAAGACACACAAACACATACCCCTGGGTTCACACATACAGACACACACACCTCTGGGTTCACACATAGACACACAGAGATACAACCCTGGGTACACACACACACACACACACACACACACACACACACACACACCCCTGGGTTCACACACACAGATACACACAGAAACACACACATACCCCTGGGTTCACACATACACACAGACACACACACCTCTGGGTTCACACACAGACACACCCCTGGGTTCACACACACACACACACATACACACACACACACCCCTGGGTTCACACACACAGACACACACAGACACACACGCATACCCCTGGGTTCACACATACACACATACCTCTGGGTTCACACACAGACACACAGACACAACCCTGGGTTCACACACACACACACACACACACACACACCCCTGGGTTCACACACACAGATATACACAGACACACACACCTCTGGGTTCACACACAGACACAACCCTGGGTTCACACACACACACACACACACACCTGGGTTCACACACACAGATACACACTCATACACACACACACCCTGAGTTCAAACACACAGAAACACAGAGATACAGAGACACACACACACACACACACACACACACACACACACACACACACACCCCCTGGGTTCACCGTACCCCTCCTGCACACACAGCCACATGCTTTCCTCAATCCTGGCAGCCCTGAGGGGCAGGAAGGGGTGCCTGGGGTGTGTGTGGAGGGAGCCCCTCCTCATCTGAGCTCTGGGCCCAGGTGTGTGTGCATGTGTGTGTGGGGGGTGCCTGCCCAGTAGCCTGCAGCCTGCCTACTGCCGCTGAGCTCAATGTCCCCACCCAGTGCCCTCCTGGTGCACCCCAATGTCACCCATTGTGACGACTGAGGGGCCTTGAGTCAGCCGCCCTCTCCCCAGGGACCGCTCCACGCGGCACCATTCCCTGCTCGTGGTCACTGGATGAGCCACAGTCCCTAAGAAGCTTCCAGCCCCTTGGTCTGGGTGCCCCTCCCTGCAGTGGGCCAGGGGACGTTGGGCTATACGGTGAGAGGCGAGAAGCTGACGCAGCCCCGCAGGACCGGGACCTGCTTAGTCCCACGGTGCCCCGCCAGGGTCACGTCAGAGATGGCAAAATGTTTCCAGAGGGGACACGGCAGAGCTGGGCCATTCCAGCTGGGAGGCCCCGAGCGACCTGGCTGAGGAGCTGCAGAGTGTTCAAAAGGGGAAATGGGGGGGTGAATTGATAGGGGAGGGCATTTGCCTTGCACGCAGCTGACCCGGGTTCGATCCCCAGCATCCCAAAGGGTCCCCCGAGCACCACCTGGAGTAATTCCTGAGTGCAGAGCCAGGAGGAAGCCCTGAGCATCACCGGGTGTGACCCAAAGAGCAAAAAAAAAAAAAGGGGGGGGGGGAGATGGTCCAGTGGGCAGGGTGTCTGTCTTGTACTCAGCCAACCTGGGTTCAATTCTTGGCACCCCATAGGGTCCCCTGAGCCCAACCAGGCATGATCCCTGAGCAGAGGCAGGAGTTAGCCCTGAGCACTGAGAGATGTGGTCCACTCCCCCCAACACCCCCATCCCCCCTAATGAGCCATCCCCAGGTCACCCCTGATGGCCAGGCGGCTTCCTCTGACTTTGCAAAGGGTTCCCGTGTCCTGACAATGAGAATGTGACGTGGGCGTCAGGACGACCTCCCCAGAGGAGGGCAAGAGCCCCCAAGGAAACCACCCGGTTCAAAGGTCCCTGCAAGGCCTGCGGGACAGGAAATGCCTGGTAACTTGGGGAGCCCCCATGCCCAGCAAGTCTGGGGGAGACAGAGGAGATTCCAGGACACCCTGCCCTCTGCCTCAGGAGACATGAACGTGTGGGACAGAGGCTCACCTTTATTTATTTATTTATTTATCTATCTTTTTGGGTCACACCCGGCGATGCACAGGGGTTCCTCCTGGCGGTGTTCAGAGGACCCTATGGGATGCTGGGAATCGAACCCGGGTTGACCGTGTACAAGGCAGATGCCCTCCCCCACTGTGCTATCTCGCTCCAGCCCCTGAGGCCCACCTTCAGGGATGCTGGGAGGTGGAGGTGCAGAAGGGTTGCTGTTGCCACTGGACTTAACTCCCCGACTGGGATTTTTTTTTTTGTATCCCAAGTATTGGGGTGACACCCAGGAAGGAGCCCAGGACTCTTGTCGCAAAGCCCCTCTCCTGGGCCCTGAACGGCAAGTCCCCCACTAGATGGAAAAGCCCCGGGTCCTGGGGGGCCGCCCCAGGGGACAGGGCGCCCCCTTCCCTGGACCCCAGAACAGGCGTGGGAAAGGCAGGCGGGCATGCACCTGGTGCCAGTGGTTGGGGAGGGGCTGGGGAGCGGGGGGAGTTAAGCGGGACCTCCACGTCCAGGAGCCAGGTCTGACAAGGCTCCCACGCCACAGCTCCCGGGGGTGTGGGTGGGGTGGGCCCGGCAGGAACAGGCCACTCCTGGCATCTGCGGCCGCCAGCCGGTTCCCGGCACAGGGCGGGCACGGGGATGTGTCCGCCGGAGCCGCTGGGGCTTGGCAGTGGCCAGTTGTGCCCGCCCTCCTGGGCGGGTGGACGCAAAGGGAAGCTGGGGGCCTCCCAGGGTCAGACAAACTGGAATGTCCTTGGCTGAGGGCTGCGGGACTGACCCACGGCACCACCCATCCCTGGTGCCCACGTGCCATGGCAGTCTCGCTCTGCACCCCGCCACGGGCCTACCAGCACCCCTGCACCCACGATAGGGGGGGAAAAGACCCAGAGGGCAGGGCTTTCCTAGGAAACTGAGTTTTCTTTATTTAAAAAAAAATAGGAAGCTGGTATTTTCTAGTACAAAATTATAGTTGATGTGCTCAAATGCGGCATTATTTTAACTGTGAAGTAGAAGGAGTCCAGAATGTATTCTCAGGATAGCACTTTGGATGGTCATTTTCACATCCTCTGCCAACCATTTACACAAGTTGTTATGAAACTAACAAAGGAGATGGTGTCTGCTGGGTGCTGAGGGTTTTGTCAGGCACCTGCGAGGGGGCAGGCCAAAGCTGAAGACTGTGGGCAGAGCCAGTGGTTAGCTCTGACTCTCTGACTAATGCAGAGTAGTTTATCCTCGAAGAGTTAGGGACTTGGGGCTGGAGTGATAGTACAGTGGGTAGGGTGTTTGTCTTGCATGCAGCTGACCCAGGTTCAATCCCCGGCATCGCATATGGTCCCCCAAGCACTGCTGGGAGTAATTCCTGAGTGCAGAGCCAGGAGTAGTTTCTGAGCATTGCTGGGTGTGACCCAGAAAGCAAAAAAAAAAGTTAGGGACTTATCACTTCATTCCTACTTTGGACAACCTGGCAGGCTACCGAATGTAACCTGCCCACATGGCAGAGTCTGGCAAAGTCCCCGTGGCGTACCCAATATGCCAAATACCAGTAACAATGATGGGTCTCATTCTCCTAACCCTGAAAGAGACTTGAATATGGCACTTTTAAAAAAATCTCAGGGCTAGGAAGAAGGAGACGTTACTGGGGCCTGCTCGAGGCAATCGACGAATAACAGGAAGCTGGATGGAGAAGTAGCACAGCGGGAGGGCATTTGCCTTGTATGCAGCTGACCCGGGTTCGGTTCCCAGCATCCCACAGGGTCCCCCGAGCACCGCCAGGAGTGATTCCTGAGTGCAGTCAGGAGGAACCCCTGAGCATTGCCAGGTGTGACCAAAAAAACAAAACAAAAGAAAATGGGGGGAGGGGGCACACCCAGCAGTGCTCAGTCAGGGGTCTCTCCTGGCTCTGCACTTGGGATCACTCCTCTGAGATTCTGGGATTTAAAGCAGGGTCGGCCACCTGCAAGGCCAGTTCCCCAAACCTTGCACTGCCCTCTGGCCCGGAAATAGTCAGAAACATCAGCATCTGCTGTGGGTTCCTTGGGACTGATCTGTGGTTTGGGGGCCGCGCCCATCTCAGGGGGTGCCGGGATGGAGGTCCTGCATCAAAGCCCGTGCTCGGCGCCTCCAACACTCACTCCGGCCCCGCTTCAGTTCTTGATTAGGGGCCACCCCTGACGATCCTTGGGCCAGCAGTGACGGCCTGATGGGTCAATGTTCAGGGGCCACCCTGGGGTGCTCTGGGGAGGGGGCATGTGGTGCCAGGACCAAACTCGGCCCTACTTATCTATTTATAGCTTTTAGGGTCACACCCGGCGATGCTCAGGGGTTCCTCCTGGCTCTGCACTCAGGAATTACTCCTGGTGGTGTGTGGGTGACCCTATGGGATGCCCGGGATCGAACCTGGGTTGGCCAGGTGCAAGGCAAATGCCCTACCCGCCGTACTATCGCTCTGGTCCCCGTTTTTTATCTATTTATTTATTTGGGGGTGCAGGGACACACCCAGCAACGCACAGGGATCACGTGTGGCAGGGATTGGGGGACCATATGGGGCGCCGGGAACTGAACCCGGATCAGCCGTGTGCAAGGCAAACGCCCTCCGCCCTCCCCGCTGCCCTTTCTCTCTGGCCCCAAGGTTCAGCTTTTAGCACAAATACTTCACAGACTGAACAAATGTCCCAGTGGCTAGATTGGCCCCAGGAGTCACTTGGCTCGGAGACCCCCTGGGTGGCTCCCGGACTCCACCCCAGCCTGCCCTCACCCGCCATGCTGATGCCCGCCCCTGCTGCTGCCTGGCTGTCGATAAAGTTTTTTCGACACAGGGGCCACACCTCTGCTCACCGCTGAGCATGGCTGCAGAAGCACCCCTGGATCTGGCCCTACCAGGCTCCCCCATTCACCAGGCGCCCTCGTGAAAACATCTCCTCAGGCCCTGAGCACAAAGGGTGGAAGGTGGGAATCTGCCCGTTTTGGTTGTGGCCCTGTCCGCGGTGTCCAGGATGGCCCCTGGCCTTTCTGGGGCTCTTGCAGGACACTGAGGCCCGAGCACATGTGCTCACTATACCCACCCTCCAAAGCACCGGCAGGGAGGCCCGTCGTTTCTGCCACAGGCCACAGCCTGGACATGAGAAGGCCACTCAGAGGCTGGACAACACGGGTGGCCGGGAAGCATCTTTATCCACCCCACCCCGGGGCCAAAGCACAGGATTTCGGGGGCTGGAGCGATAGCACAGCGGGGAGGACGTTTGCCTTGCATGAGATCGACCCGGGTTCAATCCCTGGCATCCCATATGGTCCCCCGAGCACCGCCAGGAGTAATTCCTGAGTGCAGAGCCAGGAGTTAGTCCTGAGCATCACCGGGTGTGACCCAAAAAGCAAAAAAAAAAAAAAAAAAAAAAAAAAAAAGAAGAGCACAGGGTTTCACAGAAGCCCTGGGGTCCAGGGGTCATATGCGTGCCCCCCCTCGCCCCCATCAGCAGTGACTTTCCCTCAGCAGGTGATACCTGTTTGTCCCACCCAAAAGCTCCATCCCCCCAGACTCAGGGCGAGAAGCTGGCCCTGCTCAACCCTATCAGGAATGCCTGGCATGGGGAGGGGGGAGGAAGGTGGGGGGGGGGGCCCCAGTGGCACCTGCATTTGGGGGTACATAAATGACAAGTCTCAGAGAACCATCTGGCAGGAAGACAGCAGAGGCCTCTACCCTCCCCCCAAGAGGGGGTCAGACAGACAGACAGACAGACAGACAGATGGTGGCTTGGCTGCCAAGGGTGCTACGCCCCGAGAGCTCTCGGGAAAGCCAAGACACTCCCCGCAGGCTATGGGGAAGAGGGGGTGTCCCCAAGATGGCCAGCTGTACCTCATACTCCAGGGCGAGGTCCGTGTGATCATCAATGTCCACCTTGGCCATCACCACTTTCCCATGTTGCTTGGCCACCATCTTCTCCAGTCGCGGGCCCAGGATCTTACAGGGGCCACACCACCTGGGGGGGGGGGGAATGGGTATGTCCAGTCACTCGAGTGCTCACTGCTCCGGCCCCGTCCCAGGCGCCTTCTCGTGACCCCCTCCCAGAGGGCCCCTTTGCCCATTATCTCTGTGTCCCGTGTTTGAATATTAACCCGCCTTGTGGACGTGCTGGATGCAATGACTCTGCAACCAGGGTCACCACGGGCCCTGGACTTTACAAACGTGGGTCACGGGCTGGACTGACAGCACAGCGGCCTCGAATGTGGCCATCCAGGGTTCGATCGCCGGCATCTGATATGGTCCCCCGAGTCCCGTCAGGAGTGATTCCTGAGCACCACTGGGTGTGGCCTCAAATTTAAAAACAAAACAAAACCCCCAAAAACTCCGAAGGGTGTTGGTAAGCTTTAGTTTGGGGACAGCACAGGGGTCAAGGCTATGGCACATGTCCTTGGCTTGATCCCCAGAAGCACATGGGTCCCTGCACGTCTGTGTTGCCTCAGAGGTTCCCGGCTGAGCGTCACCGAGGCACCCCAGGGCCCCTGATCTGCTTGGGAATACACCCCCAAAATCCATTCAGGGGGCCAAAGAAATAGAACAGGGGTTCTGCACCTGCCTTGCGTGCTCGATCCCTGACAACCCATAGTGTCCCCCATCCCCGAGCACAGAGCCAGGAGTTATGTCCTGAGCACTGCCAAATGTGGCACAGAAACCAATCAAACAAACAAACAAAAAACCGGATTTGGTCAGGTGAGGTCCAATTTTTTTTTTTATTTTTGGCTTTCTGGGTCACACCCGGCAATGCTCCTGGCTCTGCACTCAGGAATTACTCCTGGCAGTGCTTGGGGGACCATATGGGATGCTGGGGATTGAACCCGGATCAGCTGCTTGCAAGTCAAACGTCCTACCCGCTGTGCTCCAGCCCCAGGTTCTGGAACTTATAGCAGCACAGAGGGAGCTTCTCCAGATGTCCTCTTCACCCTGCGCCCAGCATGGTCACTGCGTGAGGGCAGGTGCAACCCTTGGGGCAGGGGGTCATCTCAGGCAGGAGGCACCCAGTGCAGTGGCTGGCTAGCTCATACCCAGCTTTGCAGCTGCTCCCCACCTGCTGGACACTCCGGAGTATTCCCTGTCCCAGATGAGGCAGGAAAGACACAGCTACTATCACACTTGGCCTTTTCTTCCCTTCCCCGTTCAGAGATTTCCCGCGCGCGTACTACATTTGCAGATGCTCGGGGATCACTCCTGGCAGTCCTCTGGGGACCCTATGGGGTGCTGGGATAGAGCCCAGCTCAGTCTTCTGCAAGGCCAGTACTCCACCCGCTATCCTATCCTCGGCCACCATTCGGAGGTTCCTAAACACCCTGGAACTCACTGGGTTAAGATCCTATGTCTGGTCCTTTCCTCCCCGTCCCAATAAGACCAATGAGTGGCCGCCCACGAACAGCCTCTCTGGCCCCTGATCAAGCTGCTTACCAGCCATAATCCGAGAGACTCAGGAACAAATCTCGGAACCCAGCAAGTTTTGGCAGAAAACCTTCCGGATTTAAAATTGTTAAAATTTCAGAATTCCAAAATCATGTGGCCACTACTGCGGCCACGCGACATCAGGTTATTCATAATCAGCAACAGAAAATAAGTTGTCTATGGTTACCTTTTCGGCATATCTGAGTGCTGGGGTAAAATCCTAAATAATAACGGTGGGTCTGGTGTCAAAGTATTGAATGTAATCAAAGTAGAGAGAGAGAATAATGTGGAAATCACTGCCCCACAGGTAGGGGGAGGGTGTGGGATGGGGGTATACTGGGGGTTTTGGTGGTAGAGAATGGGCACTGGTGAAGGGATGGGTGTTTCATCATTGTATGACCGAGATTTAGACCCGAAAGCTTTGTAACTGCTCTCACGGTGATTCAATAAATAAATTTATAAAAAGGGAAAAAAAAGTAAGGTGGAGTTCATGCACAATTCAATCAATTCATTCAATCAATGGCTGAATAAATATCAATACTCCTACATTAAAAAAAAAATCCTATGCCTGACAAAAAAGGTAGCCCAGGTCTGCCAAAGGCCTCTGGACAGGAAGGACAGATAGTGCTGTTTGATTGGCCTTACCCCAAACTCACTGCACACCCTCCTTCCTCACTGACTTCTTAGGGCTCTGTCCAGCGGCTTGACAGCCAGGCTCCAAAGGCTGCAGGCCGGGCAGATGAAAGCCACAGGTACTGGAGTCAAGACAAACAGCTCCCTCTGCCAGCTGGGGCACCACCAGTGGGGTGCGCTGATAACCGCCCACCAGCCTAGCCCAGTCTTGCCGGCAAGATGTTAAAATGAAATGAGCTTATCTGCAGGGCCTGGAAGCAGCAGGCATCAAAAGCCAGATGCTACTAAATAAAGATGCTAATAAGACAGGAGCTGCTTGGGACCAAGCTCAAGATGCCTCTGGGCCAATCGGGTGGAGAGATGCAAATCCCACTGGAAGTGAAGATGCCACTGGGCCAATCGGCTGGAGAGATGCAAATCCCACTGGAAATGAAGATGCCTCTGAGCCAGTCGGGTGGAGAGATGCAAATCCCACTGGAAGTGAAGATGCTTCTGGGCCAATCGGGTGAGGAGACACAGACCCAGTGTGGTTACTCCCCAAAAGTTCCTAGACAGGCCATGCTCAGTGGTGCTCAGGGCTTACTCCTGGCAGTGCTCGGAGAGCATATGAGAAAGGGGGTTGGCAAGTGACCCGAGGGCTGTGCTATCTCCTCCATCCCCACACCCGATCTCTGAGAGTGTCATCCGTCTTGGTCTCCCCCATCACATAGCAACAGCTGAACAGGAGACGCCCCAGGTTTCCTCCAACCCCCAAGACTCACTGTGCATGGAAATCGACCACCACGGGGGTCTCACTGTTGACCACGCGGTCCTGAAAGTCAGGTCCATCCTGGATGTTGAAGGTTGTCCAGCAGGCTCGGGTGGTGGCTATGGACCGGGCGGGGCTGGGCCCCACTGCCAGGCTGTCGGGGAGGTGCCGGGAGGCCTGCGAGGCCCTGGGAGCGAGGGGTGCTAAGCGGCCATGAGAGGGCTTCGGGGAGAGGAGGGAGGCCAGGCACCTCCGTAGCAGCAGCCGCTGAGCCATCTGTGGGGGGCAGAGGCAGAAAGATCAAGGGGGAGGGCCAAGAGACAGTATGGGGGTAGGGGACTTGCCTTGCTTGCGGCTGACTGGGGTTCAATCCCCGGCACCCCACATGATACCTGTGCCTACCTAGGAGTGATCCCTGAGGCCAGAGCCAGGAATGAACCCTTTTAGGACACTGCCAGTGTGGCCCAAAAAAGGGAAGGAAGAAAAGAAGGTAGGGAAGAAAGGAGGGAGGGAGGGAAGGAGAGAGGGAGGATGGAGAGGAGAAAGGAAGGAAAGGGAGGGAAAAGGGAAGGAGGAGAGGAAGAAAGGAACGAAAGAAGAGGAAGGAGGGAAGGAAGGGAGGAAAGAAGGAAGGGAGGGAGGGAGGGAAGGAAGGAAGGAGGAAGGGAGGGAGGGAGGGAACGAAAGAAGTTAGCACAGCAGAACAAGTATGCAACTTGGGAGCAAAAGACAGATGAAGACTCCAAGACTCAAAGTTGGCAGAAATATGCAAGGAGAGTTTTGGCGATGAGGGAGGAAAGAGATCAGAGGGGAGAGGGAAGCAGCCCGACGGACTGGAAAACTAGGCTGACAACCGACAGGCAATGAGGATCCAGGGGGCGGCCCTGAGGCTTACTTGGCAGGGCTAAGGGCTCAAGAGACAGGGCCTTTGGTCCCGCCAGACCAGTCCCGTTTCTCTGCCACTGCTGGCCGGCCCGCTAAGTTGTGACACACCCCAAGCCAGGAGCGAGTCAGTCACGTGGGCACCCCGGGCCGCCTGCAAAATCGCGCGACGGCCCCCTCTTCCTAAAGAGTTTGTTCCGGGGAAATGCAAGCTGTCAACCATCCCAGGGGGAAACCAGAGGCACGGGGGTGGGCAGGAGTGCGGGGGGAACTCGACGAGAGGGGGCGGGAGTGCGGGAGGACCGGGGGGGGGGGCACCGCGGCCACCTGGGACCCCGGGACCCCGAGAGGCAGGTCGCCCCCGCCCCGCCCGGCACCCCCCGCCGCTGGCCGGTCGCAGGCCAGGTAGGAAGGCGCCTGCCCGCCGCCAGTCTCGACACCAGCCCGAGCGATGCCCGCGGACGCCTTACCTCCCGGCCGCGCGAGCGAGCGATGCAGAGCCCGGCCCTCCCGGCCCGTCAAGGGCACTCATGGCGTCACTTCCTGGGGGCGGGTCTTAGTGTCCCATCCAGCCATTGGCAACCTGGGATGCGTCGCCCCGCCCCTTCAGGGGGCGGGGAGGATCTTCCGCCAATGGGAAGGCTGAGAGAAACCCGCGAAAGGGGCGGGGCTTCCCTGAGGAACCGGAAGAGAGGGCGGGCCCCCGGGCGGAGAGACGCGTTCATTGGGCTTTCTCTGGGAGGCGGGACTGCAAGAAGGGCGGGCCCCCGAGATGGCACCGGAAGTGGAGCGGGAAGGAGGCGGGAGATGAGGGGAGGCGGGGCTTTGCAATTTGCACGCGCCGGTGGCTTTGTAGGTCAGCCTCCTCCGCTCGCCCCGGGCTCTCCCGGTCTCTGAAGCCTCCTAGAGTTGCTGCTTTGTTGGAATAAGGAAGCTGAGCTCTTCAAAGGTGTGATGCTGGGGCTGGAGATGGTACAGCGGATAGGGCGTTTGCCGACCTGGGTTCAATCTCCTGCATTGCATATTAGCACCACCGCCAGGAGTGATCCCTGAGTGCAGAGCCAGGAGTAAACACTGAGTATCACTGGGCGTGGCAAAAAAAAAAAAGCACACCTCTGTGGTCCTTCCGCAGGGAACTTCAACTTCCCCAATATGTGAGAGTGACAGCTGGACAGCTGAGACTGTGCTCATGGAACCATCACTCTTGTCTCCTTGGAGTTGCTGGGGAGCTGAACGCCCCCAAACCCCCTTCCCCACCGCCAGCCACACCAGCCATGTTCTCCTGATGATACCTGGGGGTGTGGCCCTTGAGGCTCCAGGTAAAGCTTTACCTGCTTGGCCCTGACCTTCCTTTCCCACCGTCTCTGTCGTGGACGGGAAGAGTCTGGATGCTTGCGTGTCTCAGGCTGGTGTCAGCCACCGGTTGACTACCCTGAACCCTAGGTCTGCCATTATGACCCCTTATAGCTTTTCAGCTCTGCGGCTGTACCCATCAGTTCCTCTTTGAAATGCTTCTCTTCTGTTCCTTAGAATTGTTCCTGAATCTGACATCCAGGTGTCTGCAGCCAGAAAGCCAGTACCTGAGAGATGAGGGTTAGTGTGAGGAAAACATGCCTAGAGCCGTATGTTTTGCATGCAGGAGCCTTAGGTTCAATCCTGCACTTCATGGTCCCCTGAGCACTGCCAGGAATGAGTCCCCAGTAACTGGTTGGGAGCAGCACCCAAGCACCACTGAAAGAAAGAAAATGGATTTATTCAGGGGCTGGTAATCTGAGAAATGGTGGAATTATTATTGCCACCTGCCCAAAAATAATCTCAGAGGTCACTTCCAGTGGGCTTGGAGAAACCAGGGATCTAACCTGGGTCTGCTGCATGCAAGGCAAACACCCTCCCCCACTATACTATTGCTACAGCTCTGCACTGAGTGTGTTACTGTGGGTCCTGGTTGAAGGGTGTGAAAGTGACCCCTTTCTTTTGAAGAAGTACGAGCCCCTGGTGCTGTTCTGAGCATCTTCCATGTATTCACTCCTCCCATCATCCTACAAGCCTGTGAGGTCGGTCTCATTACAGATGGGGAAACTGAGGCACGAGAGGTTAAGCAGTTCACCCGAGGCCACCCAGACAGCAGGAGGTGGATGCTCCAGGGTTATATTTTTTCCTTTTGGGTCACACCCGGCGATGCACAGGCATTACTTCTGGCTCTGCACTCAGGAGTTACTCCTGGCGGTGCTCAGGGGACCATATGGGATGCTGGGAATCGAACCCAGGTCGGCAGCATGCAAGGCAAACGCCCTACCCGCTGTGCTATTTCTCCAGGCCCTCCAGGGTTATTTTGCCTTTCGCACAGATCTGGCTTGACTCTATTTATTTATTTATTTATTTATTTGCTTTCTGGGTCACACCCAGCGATGATCAGGGGTAACTCCTGGTTTTGCACTCAGCATCCTGCTGATGCTTGGGGGACCATATGGGATGCCGGGGATCGAACCCAAGTTAGCCGCATGCAAGGCAAACGCCCTACCCGCTGTACTATCGCTCCGCCCCCCCCCTCCCTGGCTTGACTCTAAAGTGCTGCTTCCCGGAGAGACCAGTCAGTGAATCTAGGCACCTGGAGGGGCAAAACCCCTTCTTGAAAGGGGTAGGCAGGTAGCAGGAATCTGAGCTGCGGCTATATGCATAAGCGTCCACCAGGTGGCAATGTGGTTCCCGCGGAAACTGAGCTTCACCTTGGGGCTCAGGCTCCTTCTTGTCTACAGAAGCGATCTCTGCAGGGGACGGGGCTAGAGGGAGGCGCCCCAAGAATGAAGGGTGGGTCGGGTGAGTCTGGGCGGGAGCTCGGCTGGAGAGAGCTGGCTTTGCCTGTGCGAGGCCCTGGGTTCCTTCCGTTGTTCCCAGTATTGCAGTTCAACAAATAAACGGCCAGTGGGGCCAGAGGCAGAAAGGACAGAGGGGGAAGGCGCTTGCCTTTGCAAGCAGTCGGCCTGGATTGGATCTGCAGCTCCATATATGGTCCCCAGTCCCCGCCAGTATGTACCCTGAGTGCGGGGGTGGGGGGGAGAGAGAGAGAGAGAGAAAAGAGAGAGAGAGAGAGAGAGAGAGAGCGCGCGCCACAGTCTAAAGTGATTGTGGGTTCCACCCAGGGTACCTTAGTTTCCAGTCTCAGCCTCATTGGTCATTTTTTTTTAATTTCGTGTATGATGCTGGACGTTTTTCTAACATCGAAGAACAATTGAAACTATGCCTTGGGTTTTGCAATCCGCAGAGGTGGCATGGTGTTAGGATTCACATTCTGTGTTGCCGTCAGCAATTACACAGACTCCCTCTCTATTTCTTCTGTTTCCTGCTTCTTTTTGGGGGGGGGGGAAGGGGAGAGGCTAGAGGGCTGGAGAGCAGTGCTCAGAAGATCCTGCAAAACTTCCGCTCAGCCCTTGAGCCCTTTCAGAACGGAAAGGTTTGGGGCTGGAGCGATAGTACAGGGGAGAGGGCATTTGCCTTGCACGTGGCCGACCGGGGTTCGATTCCCAGCATCCCATAGGGTCCCCCGAACACCACCAGGAGTAATTCCTGAGTGCAAAGCCAAGAATAACCCCTGAGCATCTCCGGGTATGACCCAAAAAGCTAAAAAAAAAGAAAAAAAGAGCAGTGGGGGCTGGATCGATAGTACAGAGGGTAGGGTGTTTGCCTTGCATGCAGTCGACCGAGAGAAAGAATCCGGAGTTCTGACATCCGTCGACGATCAAGAATCAGGGACGCTGTCTCATTTGCCAAGGTGTCAAAAATCAGATGGACTGGTCATGTAATGAGATTTAAAGACGACCGCTGGACTAGAGCTGTTACTGACTGGATTCCATGGGATGTCAAAAGACCGCGTGGCCACCCACCTACCAGATGGTCAGACTTCTTCATCAAGATCATGAACGATCGGTTTGAGGCTCTTCATGTTCCTAGAGCAAACAGATGTCATTGGGCTACACTAGCACACGACAGGGACAAATGGAGACATTACTGGTGCCCGTTCGAGCAAATCAACGATTAACGGGAAGTCAAGTGATCAAGCAGTCGACCCACGTTCGATCCCTGGTATCCCATATGGTCCCACAAGCACTGCCAGGAGTAATTCCTGAGTGCAAAGCCAGGAGTAACCCCTGAGCATTGCTGGGTGTGACCCAAAAAGCAAAACAAAACAAAAAAAGAACAGAAAGGTTTGACCCTGGGTGGGAACCTTTTCCCCTTGCCACTTACTCCTCATTAGGGCTGGAGTGAAAGCACAGTGGGTAGGGTGTTTGCCTTGCACACAGCCGACCCGGTTTTGATTCCTCTGCACCTCTCAGAGAGCCCGACAAGCTACCGAGAGTATCTCGCCTGCATGTATTCGATATGCCAAAACCAGTACCAATAAGTCTCACAATGGAGACGTTACTGGTGCCCGCACGAGCAAATCGATGAACAACGGGAGGAGGACATTGCTACAGTGCTACTCCTCATTAATATACAGGACAATTCTTCCTCTTGGGAGCACAAATTTGGGATGTGCTGGCTGTGAGCTGGGCTTGGACAGAGGGGGCAGGAGCTGGCTCTCGCTTGCCCGTCCAGGGGCTAGGGGATTGGTGTGCTTGGGGGGCACCAGGGCAGCACAGATGCTGCTGGGCGGGGCAGAGCCTGCAGCTGCTGAGGTTGAAGGGAAACCAAGGCTTTCTCTTCCCCAAATCTCTTGGGCACCCTCATCCTTGGGCAGCTGGGGGGTGGAGAAATGAGCACTGGACCCAGAACTGAAACCAGGTCTTCACCGGGCTGAGTGAGTGCGGGGCGAGCCCGGCACCCCCACTGTGGAGCAGTTCTTGGGTGCTCTGGGGAAAGGTGGATGGATGAGGCAACCCGTCAGGAGGTGGGATGAGACGGTAACAATAAAAACTTTTTAAATAAAGAGGCCGCACAGCCAACGTGAGTTCGATCCCCGGCATCCCATAGGGTACCCCCCGAGCACTGCCAGGAGTGATTCCTGAGTGCAGAGCCAAGAGGAACCCCTGAGCATCTCTGGGTGGGACCCGGAAAGAAAAAAAAATTTAAAATAACGTGAATTTGTATGCAGGTGGCTGTGGTTCAACCCCTTGACACTGATATAGGCAGGCAGGCAGATAGAGAAGGCCCCCTCCCAAGGCAATGGCAGTAAATCTCCTGGGAAGTCAACAGCCTTCACCTCATGGATAACTGGTGCCACTTGGTCAGACCCTGAGGAGGCTGGATTTCCCCCCACGCCCCCCCCCACACACACACAGAAGCTCCATCAGGAACAAAAGGTCAGGAAGGAAAGAAATTTCTTTCTTTTTTTTTGCTCTTTGAGTCACACGCAGCAATGCTCAGAGGTTAGTCCTAGCTCTGCACTCAGGAATTACTCCTGGTGGTGGCTGGGAGACTATGTGGGATGCCGGGAATTGAACTCGGGTCGGCCACATGCAAGGCGAATGCCCTACCTGCTGTACTATTGCTCTAGCCCCCCCAGGAAAGAAATTTCAAAGAAAACCATCACCACTCCCAACTCTACCCCCTTGA